TGAGGAAAAATATTCCTCCTTCTGGCTTATATTCCCATTTGTAAAATAACAGCAATGCCATGTGCTCATTTCAGGAGGTTTGGGAGTTCACAGGATTTCCAGGTTTGAGATGATTAACATTACGGCTCTACTAAAGCTCTCTAAACATATATTTCACCTTAAAAAATGAGATTCTTTATAAACACACACAAAATATTCACCTGGAAGTTCTCCTACACCACAGGATCTCGACTCATCCATCAGCTGTGGCCCAAACTGTGTTTTTAAGTCTTAGAAATTGGGAATAAATCTGTTGGGATTGTTAGTTTGAGCAGATTTGGAGCAGCACTCGAGGCCTGACGTGTCATTTCAATTGCAGGACAATGCACCTGATGGAAGGAGAGCTGCCCACCTCCATGTCAGGGAGCTGTGGGGCGAGCATCAATGGCAAACTCTACATTTTTGGGGGATTTGATGACAAAGGATACAGTAACAGGGTATTGTGTTCCTTTTTTTTCCATAATACATTGTATTTTCATGACTGATAATACCAATATTGCTGTTTACGTGGTGTAATTTGCATCAAGTAGAAATTGAATCAGAGCTTTGTGCAAGACTATTTGTGAGCACTGTCAGGGAGGTTTTTAACAGCTATAATTGAGCTTAATCCCAGAATATAATTTTTTTGCTCTTTTATAGTGATTTCCTTAAATAATCAGGTAATAATTAAAGCTAAACCAGAGCTGCCACTTGTCCTTGTAACTGAAGACTGAATCAGCAAAGTAGATGAAATGAGTTGTTGTATTATTGAGGCAGATAAAGTCAGAGTTCTTTCCTACCTAGAAAACAAGTGAAATGGAGCCTCTAATCAGGGAAGGAAATTTGTGGTTGATTCTCAAACATCAACTCTGTTTTTGTAGTGTATTTGCTTTTTCCTGTATGTTCCTCCATATTATAAACTTCACTGCCAGTTCCTGTTTTGGTTTTGGCCAAACCATTGTGTTCTGGGTTGTTCTTTCAGTTGGTGATTTCTGCTGGTTTCTTTGACTTTCTTCATACTGAGAATGTAGTCTTTTTTTTTTCTTTTTTTTTTTTTTTCTCTTTTCAGCTGTATTATGTTAACTTGAGGACAAAAACTGGAACCTATAGGTGGAAAAAAATCACCAACTTTAAAGGTCAACCTCCCACACCTCGTGACAAGCTTTCCTGCTGGGTCTATCAGGACAGGTAACACATCAAGGGTATTTAATGGGTTCACTGCAGTGAGGAAATGCTAAAGTGAAGATTTGAGAGCGAGGAAACTGAATTCTTAGCTTGACTTGCTGTAGGATTTTGTGTAACAACTTTATCCAGAGCTTTCTCCCATGTAAGCTGAGTTAATGGTAAAGGTAAAACCCACTTTAGGAGAGAGGTAGGAAGTTTATGGAAACTTTGTAGAATGCTGTGAGGCTTGAGATAAAAATCATTATACATTTGTTTATGTTTTTAGTCTTAGAGCTTTAAAAAATCAGTGTAAAATTACTTTTTCATTATATTGATTAATGTAAGGTTAACTTGTGACCTATATATTATACATAGGTAATAATTTATAATTTTTTATGTTTATATAGTATATGTATCTTATAGGTCATTGTGTGTATATATATATAGTATATTTTCAAGGGGTTTAATAGCAATTGCAAAGGTTTTTCAGGGCTCATTTTCATTTTATAACAGTCAAGTCAGACTAGGTGTTTGTGTTGTAAGTGACTGAGTGTGTTTAGAATATACTTAGCTAAAAAGTAAAAAAAGTAAAAGCTCCAGATTTTGTGCTAATTGTGGAAATTGTCTGGATATTATGGTCACAATCAAGTGATTTAATTTGAAAGTTAATTATAACCCAGAACATGATTTATAGTGAACACAAAGATCTAAGCGGTTTCTCTGTTTCTGGACTCCACGTCCAAAGAGGCTTTGCCTAAGCTGTCAAATACCTCTGGGTACTCCCTCCTGGCTTTGCAACTCTAATTTAACTGCAAGAGAGATGAAATGACAGATTTGAACAATTCCTTTGCTGTTAATTATTCAAACCCAAATGAATCTGCTTAGAGCATCATGTGATTTGCATAGTGAGAAAATCACCTATTTTAGGTGCTAGGAATGTATCCCTGGGAATGTCAGTCTGGAATGAGCTTCACCATCCCATCATTTCCTAAATTGCCTTCTTCAATTCTAGACCAAATGTCCTCAAAATGTTGAAGTTAACCAAAACTTTTGGAAGCAGTACTTACGGGTGGCCATTTCCTGGGTGGAATGCTGGGCTAGGAGGTGTGGAACAATCCTTGCAATGCAGTGTGCAGTGGTGCTTAGCTGGAAAATTCCCTTTTACATCAGAGAAAGATGTTTTGTGGGTCCCAGGGAGTCTGTGGGGATATTGGGAAGATTTCTTGCCAGAAGATGTGAAAACTAGAGCAGGAGCATAGAGATTGCACTAGGCAAGGGCAGGAATTCGAGCAGGGGGCATATCCCAGAACGTCAGGTTGGAAGGGACCACAGTGGATCATCTGGTCCCACCTCTCTGCTCCAGCAGGGCCAGCCCAGAGTACTGATTGTGTGTTGTTGCTTTGAGACTTGTGTTTGAGAGTGATAAACAGGCTTTTGGAGGGAGGAACAGAGACTTATTTGGAGGTGTCTTGAACCTCTTTGTGTGGATTTCTGTCAGGTCTGAAGGTGTAGCCATTACATTCAGCTCAGTCAGGTTTGCATCATCAGCTCCAATTATCAACTGTTTTCAGCTGTTTGTTATTACTAGTGCAGTAGGTAAGCCAGCATTTGAAATGAGTTATTACAGCTGAATTTGATTTATTTTTTTTTATCTCCAAATACCTCACCAAACTTACTCTTTGTTGTTCTCTTAGGCTGATATATTTTGGTGGCTATGGCTGCAGGAAGCACAATGAACTGAGTGATTGTTTTGATGTCCATGATGCGTTTTGGGTAAGAGATTTGTCCCAATTCTGAGTGTTTTATCCTCCCTGAGTGTCAAAAAAAAGACCTTTTACATTGTACTCACAGAATCAAAGAATGGTCAGGTTGGAAGGGACCAGGGTGAGTCATCTGGTCCCACCTCCCTGTTCCAGCAGGGCCAGCCCAGGACACATGGCACATGTGCAGTGAGTGTGCAAATCTGTCTGGGTTTTCTTTGATTTATAGCAGATATCAATATAAATATAATCTTTTATTTATAGCACTTAGATTCAGTAGAAATGCAAATTGGAATCTTCTGAGATTTGAAATTCCAGAGATTCCACGTTGGCTGCTCCACGTATTCCAAGTCCTCCATGCTGGGCTTTGAGTGCAGTGGAACAAAGTGCTGGCAGAGCATGGACCAAGGCAATATTTTAATCTGAAGATATCTTTTAAAGCTGAAAGTCACAGCAAATTCTAGGATTTATTTCCTAAAAGTAATAATAGGGAATGTATAGCTTCCCAAGTCATAGCTGACAAACACTCTTAGTTCCTTCCTTTCTTGTGTTATCCAGAAAGATTCTTGGATTAGCTGCTGTCCTATAATAATTTTGTGCAGTTAATGGAAAGAAGGAGAGTGATCAGAGTGCTTAGGGATAGGAATTAATGAGACATAATTGTGTGTTGAAAGGAGTTCAGCTCCTGACATCAAAGGTTAACGACTGACATACAGAAATCTGCAATCTGTTTATTTGTCAGTATGTTACAGTGAAAATTAGAAGGCAAAATTTGTCCATTGCAGTGACTAACATTAGAGCCTCAATCCAATTTCAGCTGTCATCAGCCCTAACATCCTAAGTGCTGATAACCTTCAACTGAGCTGCTGCATCATCGTGAAAAATGCTCCCTTATATGTCAATAAAACTCTATTTTCATTGGTATTTCTGTTCTGACACTTCCAGGTTTGTATCCTTCAATAAAATTCAAAGGCTTGAAAATAAAATATACTTATTCTTTTCCAGGAAGGACAGATATTCTGGGGATGGCATAATGATGTACATGTTTTTGACACAACCACACAGACTTGGTCTCAACCAGCAATTAGAGTGAGTGTTTCTTACTCTCATCTGTGACACAATTGTGATTTTGCTGTTACTGTTCTCTAGAAATTGATGTTGTGATAAGTAATTTGAATATTCTTAGTGTTGCTCAGGCTTATAACATCACACAGGATACTCAGAACCTCAGGAATGTGGAAACTTCAGAACTGATAGGAATTCTTTCCCCCACAGGATATTTTTTGAATGGTATTTGTTGTGTAATCTGGTTCTGATGCAGCAATTATCCTAAATTTCAGAGAGGGATTAGAAATCTGGAAGAAGATGATACAGCAATGTGTACCAAGGGGATAGTGTGGAGATAAAGCTTCATGTTCAAGTTCCAATAGAACTGTTTGGAATGTTAAATCACTGTCAGTGCTCCCTTACTGGAAAGACAAGG